CCCAAATTTGTGGATGGTTCCCCCCCGATTACATAATAGGGTCCCCTCCTAGTGTTGTTTTTGAAGAAGTCATGGAAATAGACCATCCTTAAATTTCTTGAGGGTCTTAGTCCCTCAAGAAATCCATAGATGCCAACACAGAGGTGGCACCTGGCATAACTGGGCATCCCCATTCTCCCCTTTATCTCCTTACCAGATTTCTGAGAGCTGGGCTTGTCTTGCATGAGGCTGGGAGATGTCGCACTTCTGTCAACCATCCCTTTCTCTGCTTCCCTCTGCCAAGACGGAGGACGAAATTAAACACCACGGTGAGCTGCAGTCTTCTCCAGGACTCAGAGACTTCTAGATCCAGGGCTCCCAATTTTAGGACAAAATCTAGAACAGGATCCTTTGGTTTTCTAATCTAGTCTGGGACTATTCATGAACCCAGCACCTGGTCTTCATCCCTGATCTCTACTCCAAAGATTCCCTGAAGCTCTGGGTGCTCCAAGACCCCCATCCGAACCTATTTTCCTCCTGTTCCTCAAATGTGAGCCATTGGTGTGCCATAGAATAATGGAAAGGAATGGCTGACAGGTCAAAACATGGCTAAAACACACACACAAGCCAGTAATAGTAGCAACCGCCAGCATCCAAGCTGAGTGAAATGAATACAGGCAGCCAAGCAAAAGCAGATATCCAATATCGGGCAGGTTCAGGTCATGCAGACAAGGGCACAAAGGTTTCATCAATGGCACACAACGTCCCCGAAAAGGTAAGAGAAGCAGCCTCCAGGACAGGAGAAAATGCAGGTCACGATGCAGGAGAATGCAAAGCTGAGAGTCTCTAAGCCAGGACACCAAGTAGAGCCATGGCAGAGAAAGTGGGAGTCCTGGATCTAGAAGTCTCTGACCACGAGAAACCCATGCAAGGGTCCAGGGGGACTTTGAGCAAGGACTATAAACCTACATTGGTGCCCTTGATTATTTGGGGGCCTTATCCCTTCCACCATGTGCCCCTTCCTCCAGATTAAGAGTCATGGAAAGGCAGGAAGGAACTTAGAGGTCATCTAGTCTAACTCCTGCTCAATACAGGAGGGTTGGGCAAAGAATGGCTGTCCGAAAGCTCTCCACCTGGCAGTCTTTGGCATGCATCGGAGACTCACTTGTCCTGTATGAGTCCTGGGAGGGCTTCTGTGGTGGGGAGATCCAGGGCTGGAGGACTGGGGGAGGCTGGGGGAGGCTGGGCCACCCATAGCGGATACCACCGCCTGCTGCTGCCTTCGGCGGAGGGCAGTGACCTGCTGTGCCATGTGGCGACCCTAATTGGGAAGGAAAGGACAGAGTTTAGGGTTGTCCTGCCTGTTTCCAGGCTGGGCTCCTAGTAGTAGGTTGAGTGTTGGGATACAACTCTGGAGACCAGGGTTTGATTCCCAGCATGAGTAGCACAAAAAGATACTTCCTTTGAGATATTTGGTTGGCCCAACAAAGGTATCAGTGCTTTGTGGGTTTTGGATGTTTTTACACTTTGCTATATATGGCTAAACCGGCTACCCCTGAATATGTTTGATGGGTTCCTGTGTACTCTGTGTGTGAAACTGAGGCTAGATGCGTAGCTTATTTTGTTGTATCTTTCCTGTCCTTGATTTTGACATCTCTTGTCTGGATGCTTCATTTTACAACCAGCATGTCGTATCCACAGATTCTGTATCCACAGATTCAACCATCCTTGGCTTGAAAATATTAAATCTCTCTCCCTCTCTGTCTCTCTATAAAACTTCTAAAAAGCAAAGCTTGAGTTTGCTATTTTATATAAGGGATGCCATTTTACTCCGCCACTATATGTAATGGGACTTGAGCATCCACAGACTTTGGTATCCATGGCAGGTCCTGGAACAAAATAACCCCCAGCAGATACCAAGGGCCCACTGTAATAAAAGATAAGAAGTAACAATCACATTTTATCTCACTGAATAACAGAGCCCCTTATCCAGAAAATAACAGTCACCTTGAAGTCTGAATAATAGATGCAAAGAGGGATCTTGAGGATTAAAAAGAGCAAGGAGGACAGAAGCCAAGGGTTGGAAATGTGGAGCTAGACAAAGGAGGGGTTCAGTCACATTCACTAACCAAAATCGACTCTTGCTGGTAAATTTGCTTCAGCGCAGCCTCCTTTTTGCCTGCTGGAAAGGAATGAAAAATTGCTTTAAAAGTTTGCAGAGAAAGATATTGGGAAGGAGAGAAAGCATAGCCCAGGGATGGAGAAGATCCCAAGTTCAACCTCCAGCATCTCCAGCTAAGATCAGTGATGCATCCTAGCATCTTCTTCCTATATACTGTCAAAAATGTTGGCAGTTCAAGCCATGCTTCACACTATTATTGCAGCATTATTTAATTTTTTTACATGGCATAATAATAATAATAATAATAATAATAATAATAATAATAATAATAATTTATTAAGCAACAATGCCTGGCTATTCTGGATTTTGAAAAATCTATTCTCATTAATCTATTCTGGATTTCTAAAAAGTAGCTATTATTGAACCTAGTCCTGGAAATAGGATTTCAGGACCCTGGACAGATCCTTTAACATTCTGGAAAGAAGCCTTAGCATCTTGACTAGAGCGCTTTTAAAATTCAGACTAAACCCCAGAGTGGATTCCTTGCCTTACTAACCAGGAGACACTGGTTAAAATGGGCAGATAATAGCAATACATTTACTGTCTGTAGTGCCACAAGCTCTTGCAAAACAAAAGATAATACAGAACCACACCTCTGGAAGTGGTAATAAAGGTATAAAATAGTATACAAGTGTTTTTACAAGGGACTGCATGCAAGCTGTATCCCCAGAAACACCACCCTGATGATTTTTTAATAATATATATTTTTAATTCATACATGAGTACAGTAAAGAAACACACATATGTAAAAAAGAAAAAGAACTATACATTATTGCTGACAAGTAAATAAATAAATGTGTGTCTACAGGTTTGTTCCACAGCACTATTTCCAATTCCCTGATGATTTCTGAATGGCTCAAGAGTATTGACCATACCTCAGGATGAAATAATTTTAAAAAATCTCCACATCAGTATGGCGAGTGGTTATGCTGACGGGGATTATGGGAGTCGTATTCCAAAAAGAAACATTGCTAAGGGCTTTCAGGGCAAGATAGGGCTGTGGATGGAATCCCAATCCTTGATGGATGAAAACAAAGTAAAGGAAGGAAGGAAGAAAGGAAGGAAGGCAAATTAGCTTGGTCTACACCAGTGTTTCCCGACTTGATCGTCCAGATGCTTTGGACTTCAGGTCCCAGAATGCCTGATTGTTGGTCCCACTGGCTGGGGCTTCTGGGAGTTGAAGTCCAAAACACTTAAGAGGACCAAAGTCTGGAAAACACTGGTCTACACTCACCTGAGGTTTGGGGTACCCCGTGAGGTTCACCATCACCACTATTCTGGTCTCCATTGCCTTGCCCAATCTGGCCACCTCCTTTCATCCGATAGGAGACTGCAGAGGATCTCTCCAGCTCCTAGACCAAGACAGAGCAAATCAGACTTCACCTGGGAAGTTTTCAAAGAGAAAGTTAGACCACAAGGTGTGCTATAGCAGCAGCTCCTTGCAAGGCAAAGGGTTGGACTACATGCCTCTGGGGACCCCTTCCAACTCTATGGCTGAGATCAGACATGTATATACACACACATAGGCTTCTATATCCTCCTACAGCCCAGCAACAGTGAAGAACTGGAAGGGTTCCCTGATACTGGGAGGTGCTGACCACAGTTTTGAATGGGAGGAGAAGGTGTTTGACTTACCCCATTCCCATACGAAAGGACCGGATCAAAAAGGCTGTCCAGGTAGTGATCCAAACCCTTCTGGCTCCGGGGTTCACTGAAGGTGTCTGAATCTGCTTCCAGATTTGGAAAGGTAAAGGAAAGTGAAGGAGCCAAGGAGATGTTTCTGTGCCTGCCGAACGGTTGGCTTCCCAGGTCAGTGGGTTGGCAGATCCACTTCAGGTTTGACTCTGGACTCAGAGGGATCTGTCCAAGGTGCTGAATCCATCTTTCACCACTTTGGACAGTTCCTTTCTTCTTGGACTAAATCCTAAAGTGGACTCACTGCTCCATTGACTTGGGAAAAGCAAGCTCTCTAACCTGGGAGATCTGGCCCTCACTGGTGGTGCAACCTGACTTTTTTGTATGTGAAGATCTATTCTCCCTTGCCGCCAGCGATTTTAGCAAATATACAATCCCTCTGCTCCACTTCACCCCCTTGTCAGTAGATACATCATGCCTGCTCTCGATTTAATGTCATTAGCATAGGGCACATCTACAACATAGAAATAATAGAGTTTGACACTACTTAAAGTGCTGTAGCTCTAATCCTCGAGAATCCTGGGATTTGTAGTTTTGCCATACAAACTTAGCCTTCTCTGCCAAAAAGTGCTGGTGCCTCAAAAAACAAAAACAAAAACTCCCTACAAATCCTACAAACTACAAAGCCATGGAAGTTAAAGTGGGTGTCAAACGGCATTATTCCTCTATTCTCTATATTCTCCAAAATATTTCTATAAAACACACAGGTCTCTTATTCATCAGATCATAAGTATAAAATCGAAATTCATAGAAATCCAAAGCAAGCCCTCTCCCCCTTACCATGACTGCAATATCCATCTGAATCTGGCAGGTTCGTGGGTGCAATAGTGGGAGCCTTTATCAGCGGAGGAGGAGGGACCGCTTCACTCGAATCCAAGCCATGTCTGAATACTCTATGGAGAAAAGCAAAGAGGAGTAGGGAGTGCGGAGTGGGATCAGGAGGAAAAGAGGACAGAGATTCATACTTTAAATCCAGGATTAACAAAGGATAAGAAAGAAAGGGTGAGGCAGCAGGGTGTTGCAGTCTGAGCGTTGGGTTGGGAATCCAGGAGGCCAGGGTTCGAATCTCCACTCAGCCATTGAAACCCATTGCGCGAGCTTGAGCAAGCCAACCATTTAGGCTTCCATATCTGAAGTCTAGAGAGTCAGCGTGGCATAGTGGTTTGAGCATTGGACTATGGCTCTGGAGACCAGGGTTCAAATCCTGGCTCAGCCATTTAAAATCACTGAGTGACCTTGGGCAAGTCACACACTCTCAGCCTCAGAGGATAGCAAAGGCAATGCCCCTCTGAAGAAACCTGCCAAGAAAACCCCATGATAAGCTTGCCTTAGGGTTGTCATGAGTCGGAAACCCACTTGAAGGCACCCAACAACAACAACAACATCTGAAGTCAGCAGTGGGATCCCTGATGTATGCTCCGCTCAGATATAGGAATTTGGGCCCACTCTCACCTACACTAAGATGTCTTCTTCCTATGAGCTTTGACAACATGTGTCCTCCTTATCATTTCCTTGGAAATGCACAGAATAGTTTGAAGGACAAATGGGACTCCTTTGCTACTTACGCTTTGCCACTAGCAGTCCTCTCTAGGTCTTCGGAGGCAACGATGAAATAGGACTTCTGCTTCGGAAAGCCACGGATCAGCTCAAGGTCAGAAACCAGGTCCAGAACATAGTCATGGCCAGCCAGCTCTGCCCACTGGTTGCCATCCTTCATGGCGACTGACCAGCCTCTCCATCCCTCAATGAGTCCCCTGCAAAGAAACATCACTTGTGAGTTGTCTGAGGTCCTTGGTGTTACATTAAGCCCAGATGTTGGGCTAGAAATAAGAAATTTGGGGCATCTCTGTCCACTGTCAGGACCTCATTGTGGGTTTCATGAGGTTTCCTCTGGAGTCCCAATCCCCTTTTACCTGTACTTCAGGACATTTTCTGCAAGGGCTTCTCCAGTGGTCCAGGAATGGACGGGGCAAGAGAAGTGATCTCCTGTCAAGGCAAGTCATCATCATCATCATCATCATCATCATCATCATCATCATCATCATCATCCTGCCCTGCTAGCCTCAGTCTTGCTCAGAACAAACTTCCTACAAGCAGAAAGCTAGTGAGCCTCAAGATATCTCCCTGCTGTGCTAGTTTTCTTTTTCATCTGGAGTGGGAATCATTGTCATTCTTTTGTCCTTTCAAGTTGACCTCGACCTGTGGCAGCCCTATTGTGGGGATTTCTTGGCAAGATTTACTCAGAGGAGGTTTGTCCTGGCCTATGTCTAAAACACTCCTCTCCAAACATGGAAAAATTGACCTTACAATGCCTAGAGGGTAGAATAACAGAGTTGGAAGTGGCCACAAAGGTCATCCAGTCCAGCCCCAACATAGAGGAAGACACCATACAAGCATCTGGTCTACCATCTCAGGTTCTGGGAGGACATTTTAAGGGAAAATCTGGAGCACACAACTGCTCTTGGGTTGCATGTGGTCCATGGGCTACATCTTCTGCAACCTTGGTCTAAAGCAGGGGTAGGCAACCTTTCCCCTTTAAGGGCTGAGGGACTTCAGCTCCCAGAATCCCAGGAGCTATTGGCCAACATGGGACTATTGGCCAACATGGCTGAGGCTTCTGGGAGCGGAAGTCCCTCGGCCCTTAAAGGGGAAAGGTTGCCTACCTCTGGTCTAAAGTCTTTTCTGGTCTACCATCTCAAGACTGTATCATCCTCTGCTCTTCCAGTTCCCAAGCAGTCATGCCAGCTTCTTACCATTGAAGCCATAAACATCCAGGGCCATGTTGACTCTATCTCGGCTGGATGTCCATTCAAGAAGGGTAGGTGGGAAGCCCCGGGCGGCTTCCATCCCATCCTGGGTCTTCTCCATGGCTTGCATGAGCTTGTGCTGGCAGATGGGCTTGTATCCGTCGAAGGCATAGTCGGAAACAAACCTGAAGGGTGGCAAGGAGAGGAGAAGGTGAAGGTGCCCATTTGGGGCCAGTCCAATGCTGGCACTTGGCATCCTCCGAAAGGGGCAGAAACCTCAGAGAGTTCTCATACAAGGAGATATTTTAAAATATGCCAGTGTTCTCAGTGTAGCTATGGATTTGTAATGTTTGGGAATAGAGAATTCTTTTCTTCAGGGGCATTTAAAAGAAAAGGAAATATTTTTAAAATATGCCAACATCAGCAACATGGCTACAGATTTGTCATATCTTGGCATAGAGATGTCTTTCTTTGGGGGCTTTTGAAAGACAAGAAAACATTTTAAAATATGCTGACATTTGCAATGTAGCTATGGAATCATCATGTTTTTGGAATTCTTTCTTTAGGAGCTTTTAAAAGACAAGAAAATATTTTCAAGTATGCCAACATTAGCTAAGTAACTACGGATCTGTAATGTTTTGGAATACAGCTTTCTTTCTTCAAGGGCTTTTAAAAAAAAAACTAAATATTTTAAAATATGTCAACATTAGTGATGTAGCTATGGATTTGTAATGGTTTGGAATATAGAATTGTTTCTTTGGGGTCATTTAAAAGACAAGAAAATATTTTAAAATATGCCAATGTTAGCCACGTAGCTACAGATTTGCAATGTTTGGGAATATAGAATTCTTTCTCCAAGGGCTTTCGAAAGACAAAGAAATAATATATACCAATTTTAGCAAGGTAGTTTACGGATTCACAATGTTTGGGAATATAGAATTCTTTCTTCAAGGGCTTTCGAAAGACAAGGACATCTTTTAAAATATGACAACGCCAGCAACATAGCTATGGATTTGAAG